TGCGGTTGGGCACTGCAGGGATACTGGGTGGTTGGTCGCTAAAGTCAGCTTCCAGTCGGGCGAGGACAACATTTACTTTAAAATCTAACAACCCCACTGCGAGGGTGGGGAAAAACAAAAAAAAAACGCAGCCATGGCCTTTGAACCTTTAAATTTGGCTTGCCATTGCACAGGTCGCCACAATGACCACCGTCGGTGAGGCCGTGTACCTGCCCCCGATCACAGCGCCCGCGCAGGCACGTATCCTTAGGGACCATGGGAATGCAGAGGAAAAACAGCATTTTCGGCTGTGCTGCTTCTGCAGGTATTTTGAGAAACATCACATGAGCTCCATTCGAAGGGCCTCCCGATAGTCAGCACTTTACCCCTCCCAGAAGCATGAACCCGCCCCCCACTCCACGCAATGACAAATCTGCACCCAGTGCTTTGTTGGTAGGTTCCTTCTCACGGAGGAGGGATCACCGAGGGCAAAGAGGGGTCCGCCAGAGTATTTGGATGGGAGTTCGGAGGAGGCATGGGCCCTACGCTGATGTCGAATGCAAGGCGCGTAATGCTTAAGCCCAAGACGGCTCCATGGCTGTGGGAAGTCTGCTTTGTTGGGTGGCGGATGCCGTAGGGAGTTTTGAACGTTGTAAACTCTAATCACCTTAATAACCCGTATAGTAGACCCCCCCACACTTTATCCCTTTTTTAGCCCCCTTTAAAGAGTTTAGATCATGGCTGAGACGGAGTCTGTTTCCTTCCCGCAGCCAAAACAATATGGTCGGGCTATTGTGCGCAGTCGGGTGGTGACTGACGGTAACGACATCCCGGACTCACATTACCATTACAAGCAGCTGGCGGTCTGCCGATCTGAACTAATGATCCACTGGGGAGATGCGTGGGTGGGGCTATTTCCCACATCTCAGTACGCAATTATGGGGTATTTTCTGTTTGATTCTTCACTATTGAGATAAACTCCCTACGGGAATTCCAACAAAAGTAGACCCCCTTATACCCTGCCTGTAACCCTTACATAGTCCAAATATGAGCTATAATCTAAACNNGTATCCCCCTTAATAGCCCCTACAACACTCCCCTATATAACCCCCTTTAAGGAGTTCAGACTATAGCTCATATACACCCTATGTGACCCCGTATGTCCTCAAGGTTGAGGAAGCAAGCTCTTAGATAGTCCTCAGTGACGAGCTCGGATATTGTTTCCTGACCAAAGATTAGGAAAAAGGAGCATAATCGTAATTTAGGGTAAGGTTTAGTGTTTATAGGGTCTGCGTAAGCTTTTTTGGCGGGATATCCCTACCTTCCGGGGTTTGGTTATACGGGGCTCTATCGGCTTATGTTTGTTTTTTTTTTCCACCCAAATAGGGGCTTCTAGTAAACATAGGGGCTTGGAGAATTGGCAACATTATGATGAGGTCTATTTGGGATAGGGTTTAGGTTAAACACAGGGCTTGAATAGCTACTCTTTCTCAGTTCTTCCTGAGATAGCCTCTGCCAAAATCATACAAGGAATCTGGGACCGGAATGTTGGTAAGTCTCTAGGCCCCCACATTAGAGCCTGAACCCCAAAGCCTGATCTTAAGGGTCCAGATCCCCAACAGTCAGCTACTTCCACATTGCAAGTGCTAAACCCTAAGACCCCAAAAATCCTGAGCACCCAGTCATTGAGCACTTGGGCTTTGAAAGGAAAATCCTCAAACTAGAGCCCTAAACCCTCGACCTTTACATCCCCAAGCCCAGCATATCCCTATATTGACCGTTTATGCGCAAATAGAATCCCTTTTAGAACGCCTCTTTAGCCATATAACCCCATACCCCATTCAAGGGGCCATGAGGGTAAGCCCTGTGAAGGGAGCTCCGCAGACCTTCACCGGTATGCCACCACAGGGCGCTATCTTCGCAGCACCTGCTCAGGTCAGGTTCATACTGTTGGCATGGGTAGGTCATTAGGGGTTGTATGAGGGTTTGCACGGATCTCTGTAAAGGTTTCAGATAGGGCTTCCATAGGGGCATATGGGGCCATGGGATTTCAGTAGTATTTTTTTAAATGGGGATATTCTGGTCCCCACCTTCGAGAAAGACTCTAGCCCTTTGGGCTAGACTGTTTCGCACAGGTCCAGGACAAAAATCGTAGCCCCGAGGATCCAAAGTAGACTTCAGGACTGTACGGGTTTTCAAATTTAAGGATTCAGTATGCGATCCAAGGGTTCCCAGCAATCAGTCAGGGGCCGTCGCTTCGGAATTGCTAGAGTACTTCGAGGGTCAGGGAGACTTAGTAAGTAGGTTAATAACCCCTATAAGCCACATAGTAACCCCAATTATCCCCATTCTTAACCTAGTTACTAAGTCTCCCTGACCCTCCAAATAGAGGGGAATCATCCAAACTGCAAGGTTACAGAAGGAGGGCTCCTGTTGGAAGTATGGAATTTAGCTCTTAGATATGGAGGTAATAGGGCCTTAACATACCTACAATAGTTCCCTTGTGGTACCCATTACTGGGTGGGTGGGGGATTGACCCAAGGAATTTAGTTTGACATTTCCATATCTGGACCTTCAAGGAAAGGGAGATGAGTTCAATGATGTGGGGAAAGGGTTCGATGTCCACATTTCATACCCAGGGGTGTTGAGCAAGCCGTTCTCTTTTTTGGGGTCCTAAGTCTAAGGTCTTGATAAAAAAAAGGGGGCCTTTGTAGTCCTCGGTTACTAGGGATCCCAGTATCTAGGCCCTGGATGAATGGGAGATGCGACAGACAACGGACGGAGCCCTTGCTCTCCAGGGACCAAGTCCTTGAGCAGCTCTCAACCTAAAGCCTTACCTTGTTGGGACTTTGGGGCTATGAAAGGAATCATGAAGCTTATTCCCAAATTCCAAGCCCTGACACATTGTTGCCCCTTACCACCTGAACAAGAAGCTCCAAGATCATATAATCAACTTGAAAGTCCTTCAGGGAGATGAGAACTGCCTGAAGAAGGGGAAGTTGATTATTTTCGCACAATATATGAACAATAGTCTAAGCTCCTTAAAAGAGGGTTATATAGGGGCTTATACAGGGGACTATCAAGGGGCATTGAAAAGGGATGATATGTATGTATCCTCGCACATCAATTTTCATGTGCTTCTGTATATATGTATATATATATGTATACATACAGATATACATATACACATATCTGTATACATCCCTATAACCCCCTTGAAAGGGACCTGAGTGGAAGCTCTAGAGTTCAGGGTTACCCTAAGGGTCCAACATATAGGGTTTTTACTATGATATTAATGGTATTTGGGCCCTAAAATCCTGTCATTTGGGTCCTTGGACCCTTACATAGTCCCCATATATCCCTATATATCCCCCTATAACCCCTTCAAAGGGAACCCTATTATTTGGGTCCTCGGACCCTTAGGGTTAGTGTCTAGGCAGTCGTGCTGACCCGTGACCTTGGCAGGGCATGCCGCCTCCCGGAGCTGTTTTCGCAGCTCCTGCGCAGGCCAGATTAGGGTTTAGGGATTAGGGTTTAGGGTTTAGGGATTAGGGTTTAGGGTCAGGGTTCTCAAAAAAGGGTTTGGGATTTGGGATTTGGGGTTTAGGGTTGGGTAGAGACCCGGGACACATGGGAATTTTAGCGGGATTATGGGGTCTCTATTGGGCAGTATGTGGAGCTCGTACTGAGCATTGAGGAACTCACATTTGGAGTCTCTTTTTCCACTTGATAATCCCTATACATCCCTGGAGTTTTTCAGGGGACCTCTGCTTAACCTTTTCCTTGCCGAGCTATATATATAAACGCGGTATGTCTCTCCTGCCTGAGATGTATATCGCCGTGATGTAGGGAGGGTCATGCGGGGATTATACGGGTCGCATGGGGGGGATCGGGGGTGGTTATACAGGAACGGAACCTTTAACTTCTGGGAACACTCATGGTGGAGATCTGTTTCGTGAGATAAGGCCGCGTGGTTCGATGTACACATGTACGGCGTCTAGTGTGAGCTTAGAGGGGTATCCTGTTGGTACTGTTGAGACGTGACGAAAGCACGAGTGGCTATGACGAGAGTTACGAGGATGGCGGCTTTGAGGCGTCAAAAAACGACAGTTACGAGGATGGCGACCCCGAAAGGCCCCATCCCTATCACTGTTGCGGGGTGGGGCGGGGCGGGGGGATACTGGGGGATCGGGGGGGTTACCGAGAACAGGGATCATATATCTACATATTTCAATATACATGTGCTTATATATATATATTTAATTGTTTAGAGATATACATGTACATATATCTGTACACATCTCTGTAACCCCCTGGAAGGACCTGAGTGGAAGCTCTAGAGTTCAGGGTGACCCTAAGGGTCCAAGGACCCAAATAATAGGGTGTTTTCATTATAATACTAATGATATGTGGGGCTTAAAACCCTATTATTTGGGTCCTTGGACCCTTAGGGTTAGTGTCTAAGCAGTCGTGCTGACCCGTGACCTTGGCAGGGCATGCCGCCTCCCGGAGCTGTTTTCGCAGCTCCTGCGCAGGCCAGATTAGGGTGTAGGGTTTAGGGTTTAGGGTCAGGGTTCTCAAAAAAGGGTTTGGGGTTTGGGATTTGGGGTTAGGTTGGGTAGGGACCCGGGACACATGGGAATTTTAGCGGGATTACAGGGTCTCTATTGGGCAGTATGTGGAGCTCGTACTGAGTATTGAGGAACTCACATTTGGAGTCTCTTTTTCCACTTGATAATCCCTATACATCCCTGGAGTGTTTCAGGGGACCTCTGCTTAACCTTTTCCTTGCCGAGCATTATACAAACGCGGAATGTCTCTCCGGTGATGTATATCGCCGCGATCTGGGGACCCAGGGTCATACAGATACGGGTCGCGGGGGTGTGATTTTGGGGAGTGTATACAGCAAAAAATGGATACGGGCCACCGCCCATGCAAAATGCTTAAGGTGGACAGTGGACATAGGGGATGGCTTGAAGCACAATCTTGGGGTACACATGGCAGGGAGTCTCCATAAAGAGGGGACCCCTTCTCATACCCCCCAAATACACCATGGTCCTCATTCAAACGTGACCTTGAACTTCTGAACACTCATGGTGGAGATCTGCCTCAGGAGAGAAGGCCGCGTGGTTCGATGTACACATGTACGGCGTCTTAGGTGAGCTTAGAGGAGTATCCTAGGCATTTCACGACGCTAGTATGATGGGTATGTTAGCCATGACGGCGTTTCTCGAAAAATCCTTTCCACGAGCTTAAAATTTTTGTCCCGTATGATACCCTCCTGGCCCTCCGGACCCGAACCGCCGAAGAATGGATCCCGGAATATACTCCCATTAAACTATCTATCAGTGGGAAAGTTTATCATTAGGGGGTGGGGGGTTCATTACTGGGGGGAGGGGGTTAGGCTATTTAGACTTAATACACAACCCACTAATCTGGAAAGTTCTCAGCTCAGCCTACAGGTTTAGGGTCCTCAGCTTGCACACATTGAATAGTGCCTTGCTAGACTTTGCCAGACCTCTCAGCAAAAGGACCTAAACCCGGAGCTCGCACACTGGTGCGGTAAACTCTAGCAAGAAGCCCTAAACGCCATAAACCGTAACACTCCAAAATCGCCAATATAGCAGACTCTAAATCTGTAAGTCCTCAATACCTCAACCTAAACCTCGTTACCTCCAGCCTTCTGTCTTGATGGTAGTGAATGGAGGAATGGGTTCGTACACTAGCCTCTTCATACCCTCGTGTGATCTAGTACGTAACATGTCTTTTTCATTGCCTGAACCCTAAACCCCAAGGAGAAGCTTCTTTTCCAGTCCTTCTTTCCCTACCAGCTGCTAGCCAGTTTACCCTAGACCCCATAGGTAGCTACAACAGTTTCCATTTAGTTTTCCGCGCGCTTTTCAATTTCATTCCGCTACCTCCTGCAGTACGGTGCCCCACCGCCGGGAGCCATCTTCGCTGCCCCGATGACACAGGCGGGGTACATGTGGGAATTATTTATGTAAGGGTCGTTAGAGGGATCGGCTCTCCCCCTGGAGCACCATTGGGGATGATTAGGGCTTATCTGGCCTTACTAGTTTGGCAGTGCATGTGGGGGAACGCCATGGTAGTCCTAGGATTGCAGTTGCAAATGCTCAGCTACAGCCCTGCCAAGCAGGTAAGGCTGCCATGCATGGATGGGTTCACAACGTGGGGCACTTGCCTCAACACCGCTCACCCGCATGCAAGGTAGAAGTACTTGGTAACCTTTACTCTCCTTCGTTGAAGGTGGGGCGGCGTGGGATCCTGTGTGTGTATCTAGTTGTCATCCTCAACTTGCCTGTGAGCCGCGTACTAGCCGAAAAGAATTCTTATAAGTCCTTGCATAATCTCTATAAGGATGCTGTAGTGTGCTGCAGTACTCCTACCTGTAGAGTTGGTGTTGAGCCCTGCACCCCGTATAAGGTTGGCAAGGTGGACTTGGTAAGACGACACATGACCATTCTTACACAAGATGACCACAGCGGCAGCTAATTACCCGCATGCAAGCGCCACTCACATTCATGTAGCCCCCAGCCCAAATTGAAATACGGGCCCCAATCTATTTCTGTTGTGGTCCTTGCATGACTGGTACTGGAATGCATGCACAGGTACGTACCCACCTAAAGCTTCAGCAGGAACTGCGCAAACATACATCAACGCCTAGACCGCCCCGCACGTCCCTCCTCTCTGTCTGCTCTCTCTGAGTAATATTCTATTTGGGGATACTATGGTACCCATTATAGAGTACGATTCTATCCTCCTTTTGGGGTATAGTATTTTATATAAGGAGTTCGGAATACTATCTTACTGGGTTCAACCACCAAAAAAACCCTACCCCTCCCCTCTGTTCAGTACTATGCGCCTGGAGCTGTGCCCATGACTGCCTGGGCCTCATGGCTTGCTTTCGGCATGGACGCTGGTGATTGTTATGGGTTGGGGGCTTTTGCAGAGTTGTGGAAGAGGCCAGGCAAAGTTTGAAAGACGTGCAGGTAAAGAAAACAGAGTTTCCTGTAGTCGCGGTTGTGGATTGCAGTTGTGTGCGGCAATCTACTAACGAACCATCCCCAGGATTTCCGAGAACCCCCTTGAGAATCTCCATGGCCGTCAAAGCGGACCCTGTAGCTGGTGGTGGCAGCATGCGTGTAGCGTGGACATGGCTGGCAGTTCCCAATGTCCCCAACGACCACACGTGTGTGCTATTTGGAGCATTCATATTATATTGCCATGGGAATAGTCGGGGCAGACAGTAGCCCCACATGGTAGCTGGCATCCAAATCTAAAGGCCAAAATACTGTAATACTATAACCCTCACTACAGGGACCGCTAATTTCTGGATGCCCATATTCACAAGCCTGAATATGTTCACTTTTTCTTGAAATGGTGCCACTGGGTAACTCATGCGGACGCAGGATGTGAGGGTCCCCGTTGAGGAATCTAGAGGGGTTGTCTTGAGCAACTCCCAAAATATTCCCCAAGTAGGGTCCATGTGCAATAGCAACAAAACCCTGGGGCTCCAAATAGTCCAAAGTAGGTAAACCCCAAACCCTTGTTTTCCAACTTTTTGGCCCAAAGTAGGTACCCAAAGCATTTTCGAAATTCATGCAAAATGTTTACGATGCTAAAGCTCGATACTGAATGTCAAGTTGTTTTCCAACTTATCCCAGAAGGAAAGAAGAAAACTAGACCGGCAGCGGCGGGTTAAGTAATCCCCTCTTATAAAATGTAAGATAGCGCCCCCCTACTAATAGTGAGGCCTGTAGTATGACAGCTGCTCGGGGGTTGTTATTAAGAGGAACCCCAAAACCCTGAACCCGCAGACCGATCTACAGGGTAAGGACAACAATGTTGACTGCAGTTCACGGGATTACCGCTGCAGGCGCAGCCAGCCACGATGGCAGGCGGCCTTTCCCTAGCGTTGATAGGTGCTTTTGTAGAGATGTCTACAGAGACAAAAAAGATAGTGTATATCATAGTATATTCTCAAAATAGTATACCATGGTATATTATAGTATCTTATAGTATATTATAGGAAATTATTCTTTAATGTTTCAGGTTTTGGATTTTTCTCCAAAGGATCCAGCTGCCCCAACGTGGGTACCATTTATGGACTTTTTGCCGAAAGCAGGTACTACTCAAAGACTTAGATATGAGCTATAGTCTAAACTCCTTAAAGGGGGCTTATATAAGGGACCATATAATACAATATGGGCTTTAGGGTTTAGGGTCTAAACTTCTTAAAGGGGTTATATACGGGACCATTACAGGGGATATTAAGCGGGATGCTAGGAGTTCAGACTATAGCTCATATAGCAAAGCTCGGAGCAAAGGGAGTTTGGCGTTTTGGGTTCAGGGTTTTACGTGGAGGCTCATCAGTAGTTTCTTGCATAAAGTACCTCTGGTCCTGACTCGTTATCGTTTTAGTTGTTATAGCCCCAGATCTAGCCACCTGTCAGCCTTCAAGTGGCATCGGGGGCTCAGGGTATCTGGCTTATTTGGCCCAGTGCAGCTTCCCCCCCATGTTGAAAGCTCCTTTACTGACTATGATTGGATACTCCCTACAACAACCCACGTTGTAGGCCGTCAAAACTCCATAGTTAGAATAAGGCCCCAAACCTGCAGGGCTCTCCCCAAGGGAGCATAATTTGGACTACCCCCGGCGTGTGTTGCAGAAGCATTCAACATCAAAACCACACATCAGGGGCAGGGGGCTGTTCAAGATTGAGGGGAAGGAAATAGAGAAGGGGGGAAAGGGGCCCCGAACATGAGATTATTACTCTTGTGCTCTGCGCTTAGACACTAGCTGAAAGGAGAATCTTTCTGGTGGGTTCCCTGGCAGGCATAGGATGAGGGTTTAGGGCTGCTGTTTGACAACTCTGTCAAGGAGTATCTATTTTGGATACATTGAAAGGGCCGACCCCCATTGTTGATTGCAGCTGGGCTGTTGGTAGTATTGTTACTATTATTATGGGCAGTTCCCTACCCTCCCCAAAGCTGACCTGCATCCCCCCCCCCATCTTCGAAAGGGCAGTAGCATCGCAGGGGCTTCACTTGTCTCGTAATTACCGAGTGGGACGCCCATATGAGAAGCATCCTATTTGGGATGTTTTTTCGAGTTACAGGCCGCATTCTCGAGAAAGCTTATCTATTATTTTCCTTTTGGGTATAGTATTGTGTAAGGAATCTTGGCTCAACCACCAAGAAATGGCATTCAGATGTGTGTTATTGAAAATGGTTGCTGTTGGGGACCCTAGCGATGCAATGGGGATGACAAAGGGGCTTCCTGTTGTTTGAGGCTCGTAGAGGGCTCATATAGAGATGAGATCTATGAGACCCATATGAGCCCTCTTCAAGAGTATCAATTTGATAACTACCCACGCTGAGACATTCTTGCCCACAGCTAGTCAGTGTTCAAACTCTACCTGCCTGTGTCCAGTGAGTCTCATGCTGCCTGGTGACAAAGAGCTCAAGGTCTAGATGGCAGAGCCCTGCGTCAACAGCGGAAAGCGAAACAGCGGCTGTTAGTGTCGCGGACTACTCTAACCACTATGGGTTATTAGACCCTAAAATTCCCTATTAGGACCCTATTAAAGGTAGATCAAGGTACCCTTAAGGTCTACTAGCCCATAGTGGTACCCCAATAACCCCTATATAATCCCAGTTTCCATTTCATTTTCCAGCTGTCTCGGCTTCTGTGCTGAGGCGTGG